GGTCATGTCCTGGCATACTAGTTCAGCTCCAGAGGCTATCAGCATCCTCTCTGAGGTGTCCACTGGGACTACCACTGAGGCATTCAAGACAGATGTCATTTCTTCTAGCAGGACATCCATCCCTTTCCCTGTTCAGACAACAATGTCACCAGACATCCCCACGGAAGTCAACACCAGGCTCTCTACCTCCCCTGTCATGGCGGAATCTGAACCTATAACCATGGCCACTGAAACCGTTCCCCCAGGGGCTACATCCCAGGACACAGTAGCCTGGGACACAACAGCCACAACATTAGGGGCACCGACACACTTGGCTGTGACTCAGGGTTTTCCACATTCAGTGGTGACCTCTAGTGTGGACAGAGATTATGAGGGTGAGTCACCCACCAGCCCTTCCTCTGAGCAGGACATCAGCTCTCCATCTTCCCTGGTGCCTTTACATGCTATGACCTCAGCCTGTGCAGTGTCCCCCACACTGCCAGCCAGTAGGCCTTCTCCTCTTGCTCCTGTCACCTCACCACCTCTCACCACTGGCCTGCCAACAATCCACAGCACGTGGGGCACGAGCACAGAAGGTGTGATCAGTTCACCCTCAGTTCTGACCAGCACGTTAGTGGACGCTTGGGCCACATCTGAAGCCTCTACCCCTACAGAGGCCATTCACCCTCCTGAATACACAGCAGTCACCCATGCGGCAACCCTCCATTCTGCCCAGGAATCCCACTCCTCGTCCCCAGCCTCATCAGAACCAGCCACAGGAACATCTCCAATCGAGACCTCCTCCATCGGTCAGGACACCACGGCTTCCACACCAATGCCTGGCCTCTTGGGAACCACAGAGAAGGAAACAGTGTCATCGTCATCCCTGGCCCCGGAACTGTGGGAATTGGACTCCTTTCGGCACACCAGCTCAGCCACGGAGGAAATCACCGTCCCCCCTGAGGTGTCCACAGGTTCTAGTGCTGAGGCCTCCAGGACAGACGTCATCTCCCACAGCAGGACATCCATCCCTGTCCCTTCTCAGCCCACAATGTCCCCTGACATCCCCATGGGAATCAACACCAGGCTCTCTACCTCCCTCATTGAGGCAGAATCTGTACATATAATCATGGCCACCAGAACAGTTTCCCCAGGAGCTACCTCCCAGGGCACACTCGCCTGGTCCACATCAGCCTCAGCCGGGCGGTCTCATATACACTCAGCAATAACTCAGGGTTCTCCACGCTCAGAGGTGACCACTAGCATGGAAAGAGTTTCTGAGAATGAGTCACACACAAGCCCTTCCTCTGAGCAAGACATCAATTCTCCATCTTCCCTGGTGCCTTTTCATGCCATGACCTCAACTTCTGCAGTGCCCCCCACGCTGCCAGCCACTGGTCCTTCTCTGGTTCCTGTCACCTCACCTCTCACCCCTGGCCTGATGAGGACCCCCAGCACGTGGGGCATGAGCTCAGAAGGGGTGACCAGTTCACCCTCAGGTCTGACCAGCATCTCAGTGGTGGAGACTCGGGCCACGTCTGAATACTCTACTGCTACAGAGGCCATTTCCCATGCCAAAAACACAGCGATGACTCACACGGGATCCCTCAGTTCCACATGGGAATCCCACTCCTCGGCCCCAAATGGCTCAGAGCCAGCCACAGGAATGTCTCCAGTCGAGACCTCCTCCCTCAGTGGGGACACCCTGGCTTCCACACAAAGGCCTGGCCTCTCTGGAACCACGGAGACTGAGATACAGTCCGCGTCGTCCCTGGCCCTGGAACCACGGGAAACCAGCACATCCTGGCACGTCAGCTCAGCCACAGAGGAAATCACCGTCCCTCCTAAGGTGTCCCCTGGTACTAGTCCTGAGGCCACCAGGACAGCCGTTATGTCCCCCAGCAGGACATCCATCCCTGGCCCTGGTCAGGCCACAGTGTCACCAGACATCCCCACAGAAATCAAAACCAGGCTCTCTACCTCCCCTGTCAAAGCAGAATCTGAACCTATAACAATGACCACTGAAACTGTCCCCCTGGGTGCTACATCCCAGGGCACACTAGCCTGGGACACATCAGCCACAGCATCAGGGGCACAGACACACTTGGTTGTGACTCAGGGTTCTTCACGCTCAGAGATGACCGCTAGCGTGGACACAGGTTCTGAGGATGCGTCACCCACCAGCCCTTCCTCTGAGCAAGACATCAGCTCTCCATCTTCCTTGATGCCTTTACCTGCCATGTCCTCGATTTCTGCAGTGTCTCCCACACTGCCAGCCACTAGCCCTTCTCCACCTGATCATGTCACCTCATCTCTCACCCCTGACCTGCTGACGATCCCCGGTACATGGGACATGAGCTTGGAAGGTGTGACCAGTTCACCCTCAGGTCTAAGCAGCACATTAGTGGACATCCGGACCTCATCTGAAGCCTCTTCCACTATAGAGGCCATTTACCTTCCTGAAAACACAGCAGTGACCCACGTGGGGACCCTCAGTTCTGTAGGGGATTCCCACTCCTCTGCCCCAGCTGGCTCAGAGACAGCCACAGGCATGTCTCCAGTTGAGACTTCTTCCCTCCGTGGGGATGCCACAGCCTCCATGCCGATGCCTGGCTTCTCTGGAACCACACAGACTGTGACATTGTCAGTGTCATCTCTGGCCCTGGAACCATGGGAAAGTGGCATGTATCCCCACACCAGCTCAGCTCCGGAGGAAAACACTGTCCCTTCCAAGGTGTCCACTGGTATTAGTCCTGAGGCCTCCAGAACAGCCGTCATCTCCCCTAAGGGAACATCCATCCCTGTCCCTATTTGGCCCACAATTTCAAAAGACTTCACCTCGAGAATCAACACCAAGCTCTCCACCTCCCCCGTCGTGGCAGAAGCTGCACCTAAAACCATGGCGACTGAAACTGTTCCCCTGGAGGCTACATCCCAGGGCACATTTCCTTGGAACACATCAGCCACAGCCTCAGGGGCTCATATGCACTCGGGTATGACTCAGGATTCTACAGGAGCAGAGATGACCACTAGTGCGGACAGAGGTTCTGAGGATGAGTCACGTACCAGCCCATCCTCTGAGCAGGACATCAGCTCTCCATTTCCCCTGGTGCCTTCCCATGCCATGACCTCAGCTTCTTCAGTGTCCAACACACTGCCAGCCAGTAGGCCTTTTCCTTCTGACTCTGTCACCTTACCTGTCACCACTGGCCTGCTGAGGTCCCACAGCACATGGGGTATGAGCTCAGAAAGTGTGACCAGTTCACCTTCAGGTCTGAGTCAGACCTCAGTGGAAATACAGGACACGTCTGAAGCCTCTACCACTGCCAAGTCCATTCACCCTCCTGAAAACACAGCAGTGACCCACGTGGGGACCCTCAGTACTGCATGGGAAGTCCACTCCTCAGCCCCAGCTGGCTCAACAACAGCCCCACACATGTCTCCAGTTGAAACCTTCTCCGTTGATGGAGACACCATGGCTCCCACACCAATGCCTGGCCTCTCTGGAACCATGGAGACTGACACACAGTCAACGTCGCCTCTCGCCCTGGAAATGAGGGAAACCATCATGTCCCAGCCCACCAGCTCAGCCCCAGAGGACATCAGCATCCCTTCTGAGGTCTTCACTGGGACCAGTGCTGAGGCCTCCAGGACAGACATCATGTCCCCCAGCAGGACATCTGTGCCTGGCCCTGTTCTGCCCACAATGTCACCAGACATCCCTATGGAATTCAACACTGGGCTTTCTACCTCTTCCCCTAGTGTTGACATTGGAAAAGTCACCATCATCACCAAGAAAGGTACTCTATGGCTATATCATAGGATACCCTTACCTTGGACACATTAACTACAGTTGGTGGCTGAGTGACTCACATTTTAGTGGGTGAGAGAGGATCCATAGCACGCAGATTGTTGCAAGGATACATTAAACAAGAGTTTCTTTTCTTTTCTTTTCTTTTTTCTTTTCTTTTCTTTTCTCTTTTCTTTTCTCTCTTTTCTTTCCTTTTCTCTCTTTTCTTTCTTTCTTTCTTTCTTTCTTTCTTTCTTTCTTTCTTTCTTTCTTTCTTTCTTTCTTT